GCTTAGGACATTTTTACTGAAGCTTTAAATCAATGGTAGCAAAAGCAGAAGATGTACAAGCTTAATTGTATGGACACCAGAAGGCTGTGCTGCCATTCAGAGGGACCTGGACAGGCTGCAGAGTTGGGTGGTGAGGAACCTCATGAAGTTCAACAAAGGCAAGTGCACGGTCCTGCACTTGGAGAGGAATAACCCCATGCACCAGTACAGGTGGCAGGCTGATCTGCCGGAAAGCAGCTCTGCAGAGAAGGACCTGGGAGTCCTGGTGGGCAAGTTAACCATGAGCCAGCAATGTGCCCTTGTGGCCAAGATCCTGGCTGCATTAGGAATTGTTGCCAGCAGGTCGAGGGAGGCGGTCCTCCCCCTCTACTCAGCCCTGGGGAGGCCATACCTGGAGGACTGTGTCCAGTTCCGGGCTGCCCAGTACAAGAGAAACATGGAGCAACTGGAGTGAGTCCAGTGGAGGACTACTAATATGACGAGGGGACTGGAGCATCTCTCCTATGAAGAAAGGCTGAGGGAGCTGGGCCTGTTCAGCCTGAAGAAAAGACGACCCTATCAACGTATACAAATATCTAAAGGGAGAGTGTCGAGATGATGGGACCAGACTCTTTTCCGTGGTGCCCAGCGACAGGACAAGAGGCAACAGGCACAAACTGAAACACAGGAAGTTCCATCTGAATATGAGGAAAAACTTCTTTCCTGTGAGGGTGACAGAGCACCGGCACAGGTTGCCCAGAGAGGCTGTGGAATCTCCTTCCTTGGAGATATTCAAAACCTACCTGGACATGATCCTGTGCAATGTGCTCTAGATGACCCTGCTTGAACCCTGCCAGAAGTAATAATTAAGTGTACTTTTTTCAATGCTGGCCACAACATAGAAAATAAACTACTACCAGAACAACTATAACGGAATGAATTAAAAACAAATGGATATTATTTTCACAAAGCACGCGTCTTGCAGCATGTGACCCATCATGATGATAAGCATGGCTCTCCCTAGTTTACTTCCCCAAGATGTTCCAATCCTTACCCAGGTACAAGGAAGAGACTAATGCAGGAAATGGATGCATTATGCCATGAAGTAATCTAATAATCCTCAGCCTGTTCATGAATGTGACAGGGATTACAGCATAAAGTCAATGGTTAGGTTCCCATATCTAGAATTTTCAGAGAAACTAAATTGCAGAGTTTTGGGGTAGGGAGAAAAATAATCAAACCTGCTGGCAACGTAGAAAATTCCACAAAAGCTTCCTTTTTCTCTCGTTGTTCCAGGGGAAGCTGCCAGGGCATCTGATGGGGCTTTGCCATAACCTTCACCTTGTAGGCCATATTGGGCTTCAAATTAAAAAAACGGTACTTGTAGCTAGCAGCCTTGACAATGTCAAATTCTTCTTCGTTAAGAAAAATCACATGACTGTAATTACTATTTGTAGGGAGCCAAGACAGCTCAGCAGAAATCTGGGTTATGTTCTCCACTTTAAGATTAGAGGGGGCTACAATGACATCCTTCCCAACTAACAAAGTGCACTGCAGTTCATCTGAGTTACCCTTGTTTGTAATGCTCTGAATTGATATTCGGTATGTACAGGCAGAAATGTTAAGCTTCTCTATAAGAGCTTTAGTTCTGCTTCCCAAGGCTATGTTCATTCGTACTTCTTTGTCAACGAGAACATTGTAGCTGCTAATGGATCCCCATCCAGGTGGCACTACTGGTGGCTCCCAGCCCACAATGACACTTTTGGCTAATTGTTTAATAAGGGTGATTTTTCTAGGATAAGGCACAATGTCTTCTCCAATTTCATCTATATTCACATCCAGAGTCCCTGCGCCATTGCTGATTACACTAGAGTCCATGTGGCTTGGTGGACTTATCTCAAGGAGATCTCCTTCCAAAGTAGAACCCGAATGATTGATGAAATTCTGATCTTGTTCACTGCTTAGACTGCTTGATAAACGGGTCTCATCGTCTTGAACAAAATCCACAAAATTTGAAGGGACTAGTCCTCTTTGTCCATCTAGAAGTTCCCCTGGTGAGAAAAAATAGTGTCATTAATGTCCTTGAATGCAGAGACTTCTTTCATGGCTGGCTTACGTGTTTTCTGAGAAATGCTACCATCTAGTAGGTTGAAATGAAGAACTACATCAAATCAAATGAAACGGATCAGTTTAACTCCGTTAAGAAGAGTTAAATCTATGCATGGATTAAAACTCTACTTGAAAGTAAACCATATTTTACCATGGCCATAAACCATATTTGTGCTGCACATCACTGCACGGTGCCTGTTGAAGAAGGGGTTAACAAAAAGCAGAATTCTTCCTCTCCTTGCTTAGACTGTTGGTTTGTTTCATTTTGTTTAAACTTACTTTGCACCGCTGCTATAAACAAAGAATGGTCCTTGATATCAGAAAAAAAGTTGCAGGCCACCACTGCATCAGGTGGCTAATTACCAATGAAGATCATAGTGCAAGTGACCTGTCCTTGAATTACAGAACACCAACAGAAAAATGAAGCTATGAAGTTGCCAAGGGTGATTTTAGAACAAAAACGTTTGTAAAGTAAATGGCAACTTTGGTGCTCTTAATCAACTTGCATGAAACCATTAAAAGTTTCTTAGCTCCAGTGTGACTTCATGTCAATGCCTTGCATTGGACAAGAGAAGAAAGAACACAGAGGTGAAAATTATACACACATTGCATTCATAGCTCAGGAAGGAAAGGAACACTGAGGCAAAACCCGTAATTGTCAGTAAGCTTCCTTGTCAACTTAAATCTTGCACGAAGGAAAAGCTGACAATTTAAAACATCTTATAGTCAGCCATGCCTGCAAGGAGCGGCTTTGCTGGTGCAGAAATTCTGGTAATTAACACAAATACGACAGGGGTAATTTTAGCAGCTGATTTGGTAGTAGATGAAGGAAAGCACTGCGAGTGTGTTTGACAGATGAAATGATTTTAATCTGCATCAATTAGCATGTATTTATAGATTCAAAAAAATACCTTCATAAAAGCCATCTTCGTCCATATCTCCATACACATAAAGGTATTTTCCTGCCGTAAGGGGGAGCTCTGCTTCTGGATTTTCATTTGGTCCATCAAAGGGGTTGTAACTGCAATGGAGTATGGATGGAAAACATGCATATTCACTTACAACCCCCACACAACTGAAAACTAATCAGAAAAAGAAGCTGTACAGTTCTGCAGAGGAAGGTAACTCTTCAGTCTTTTGGCTTACCTTTTGAAATATGCATTCTGAGAGGTGTCTAGGTGAATTAGTGAGTACTACAAACTGTAACTGGATTGCCACAGGCTGCCATGAAACACAACCTATTCACTTAAGTGCTATACACTTAAAGCCATGTCCTTCTCCAAACAATTTACTTGTGAATTTCTCACTTAGGTCTCTCTGAATACACTACTGGCATAAACCTTCTTCATACCTTAAGATCAATTGCAGAAATCTCACTTGCAAGTCTAAAAAGAGAGTCCACATATTCTGTCCATTTTTATATGCCAGACTTCTACACAAGTTAATAAACTTCAGCAGAGACAAGTTAAATAGAGACAAAAGCACTAAGTTATGGCTAAAAACAAGCCATAGACTTGCCATATAGACTAAACTTCTTACAAAGTAATTAAATCCATACCCTTGCCAGACTGTGAATGGCTGCATCCTGCTGGTAACTATGGACAGATAATCATTCCTTACTATAAGGCACAGTAGAAAACAGAGCTTGACAAGAGGCTGACAAGTCATTTAATTCATGGTGTCTAACCCTAAATTGGCACAAGCAGTGTATTACTGCTCACTCAGGCAATCTCTCAAGGGACTTAGGTGAATATTAGAATCTGTTTAAAACCAATTTGAAAGGTAAGAGCATAAAACAGTAGAGTTGCTGACGACTGCAGATTCAGGATACAGTTATTCTCAGCACGCAAACGTCCCCAGGGATGACTGCTGTCTTAACAGACTCCAAGAGCTTTGGGGTATGTTTGTGTCTCTTTTGTAAACAAACACACAGACACTTTGTGCTGTTTATTTAGTTAGTTGTATAAAAATCCTTTTGCCAAGAATTGTACAGATTTTAATGACTCTGACCTCACTTGCATTTAAAGAAAACAACGGCCACTAACATGCTATATAGTCTTGCAAGTAGTCTTACTTGTAGCCTGCAAGTTGATTTAAATGCACACATATTCTCTTCCCTAAAATCTTTCCTACTTACAGTCAACATCAGTAAGGTAGTATAAACATTACACACGTCTCAGTCACACGAAGATGGTATAAACTATATCTGAACAGAAAACTTCCATGAACAGCACACTGATTTCTGTCTTTTGGGATCACAGTATCTTGATGGGGTAGAGCTGAAATGCATTAACAAAAAAAAAAAAAAAAAAGTCTGGCTAATTCTGAAAATGCACAGAAAACAACACAGGGGAATTCTTCTCTTGCAGCCCCTATGAACTCTGTTTTTTCCAGTGGTGGGGGCATGTGATTGTACACTGAAGACCAAGTGGTGCTCACATCACTTAACATACCGGGCTTTGAAAAACACAGTGATATTTAATCTATAATGAATACACCGCCAAAGGAAAGAAACCGTCAGGCACAGAAAGTTTTATCACAATAGTACCTCACATCTGAAATTTTATGTGCGAAGTAAAGACCTGTGAAACTTCTAAATCTTTCTAGCATGGATGAAAGAGCAATTCATACAAACTGACTGAGACATCCTCTATGAGGTAGGAGGGTAAGCATTCTCATCTCATTTAGACATTGAAAGGTAGAAACACAGTGGTGGGTAAAAGAGTCATGCCATGTTAAACTTTCTCTGACAATTAAAGCACATGGAAATGGCACTATTTTGCAGCCAGTGCAAACAGGAAAGAGGTCTGCTATCTATAGCATGCAGGCTGAAGTTTGCCTTTAAAGCCTACAGGGACAACGATCTTCTGTTCTTCTAGCATGACGGTATCAGAAGCAAGTGAACATCCAATATGAAGGAATCCAACTGATCAATTATTACTTTTTAGTTCACTAAAACCTCACTTACCAGCCAGTGTTGGGATCCAACCTCTAATGAGCCTAGATCGTCCAGATCTAACAGATAAACCTCTTTGCCTGTAGAGAGACACGCTGCTGCCCACCATGTGCTGTAAAGCAGATTCACAGCCCAAAGGAAGCGGGGATATAGCTCTGTTAACCCACCTACCCAGTGTGAAAAAAGGCATTTGCATTTGCCTTTCTACTGTGAACGAAAGGTGCGTGAACAAAAGTGAAACAAAATGTTGAATATTACAAATATATATTACATATGTAATGAGCTGTTACGTTACCTGTAACGGGCAATGCAAAGATGGACTTTCCCAGAATATCTCTGCTTTGAGGTATTGGAATTCCGATCATTATCCATCTGAACAGAAAAAGAGACAATGGGATTTCAAAAAGATGCATTCACTGTTATCCTGACTGGCAATGTTAATCAGATAAAAAAAAGAAATTGTGATAAGGAACAGAATTGGTTAATTTTATTTAGAAATGTTTAGGCCAAAAAGGAACTGCAAATTAGATTCTAACACCGCAAAGAAATTCAGCTAATTGCCTGATCTCTCGCTACAGATTCAGATTGCATGTCTGATTCTGACTGTGGGCTTTTCTCAAAAGCTTCCAAAATTGACCCATCTGGGGATTAGTTAGTGCCTTATCATCTGGGCAGTGGCCAAAGCTGAAGGGGATGTGATGTCAACCATACCATTCCCTTTCACGATGCTCACTAAAGAGATAGGCATGACTTAACCATACCGGCCTCACTGACCACTTCACCCTCCTGACCGAGTTTATTAAAGTCTCTGTTAAGAGTATAGTAAAGTCAGTTACTCCAAGCTGACCTATTGTAAGTGATCGGTCTAGTGTTTCCAGGCGCACTACAGCTATATGATCACACAGCTAACCTGTAATGACACCCTGAAATTTTAATAAGAAAACAACAGTAGTACCCAAATACCAATAGCTTAGTACCTTAGACAAACGCTACATTTTTGAGCTGCTACAAGTGTCAGCTTCCACACACTTGCAAACAATGAGTATCAGATAAAACGTACCCCTTGGCCAACCCAAACCACAGCAGCAGCATTGGCTGAATGCCACCCTTTCACTGAAAGAAACAGCATATTCCCTCTGAATCTACCATCACATTTAATTCAACAGAGTTCTGCAAAGCCACACTTCTATTCCATCACAAGTCTGGTTCTCGAAAACCTGGAGATTAAATAGTGGTGCTGCATCAACACAAACTCTATCCTATTTCAGCCCTGCACTAGGTATCTCACTGGTAAAACAGTAATTCTTTCTCTCACACTCTGAACTTGGTAGAGTTTTTAAAGTGACAGATGCGCTTTTTCCCTCCACTTATTTCATAGTTTGCTAGAGCCCTTTAAGGAAAAATGAAAAACTTTTCCCCTGAGCTTGAGAGAACTTCAATTAAGGTAGAAATATGAGGTTTGACAGTGGGATCAAATAGATAAATTGTCTAAAAATGGACTCTTAATTTCACAATCCGGATAAAGAGTGAAGACTGATCTACAACAACCAGATTTAAATTGGTCCCTGCTTGGTTCCCAGGATGGAACAGAAGTGCAACAGAAAAATGCATGCAAATCACTTTTCCTCTGGATCAGACCCAAGAGAGGGGTTTGTGTGCCGGGTTAGCACAACAAACTATTCTCACCGGCCAACACTTCACCTCCCCTGAGGAGGACAGTAAGAGCCAGCTAACAGGTATTCGCCCTCTCTGTATCCTTTGGGGATGTAGGTAACCTTTTCAAGGGGTATCCTCCTGATATCTTTTTAAGGGCACGTAGCAATGCTCATAACTAACCCAATAATAACTACTCCAGAGACCATTTTGTTGCTAATAACAATCAGGCAAGCTGCAGAAGTATTTTTGCAGAATATCATTTTTTATTTCAGACTTCACAGCATTGAGCCCCATTTTTAGGTTTTGTTAAAAGACTATTTCCTCGTGATTTAATTCATACACACTCCTCCTGGGTCCTGGATACCTCTAAAAAAGAATGGAGCTGAAATCCTGTGAGCTTGCATAATATAAGTATGTATCACATAATTATACTCAAGAAGGCACACAAGGAACAATTTGGCAAAAGAGAGCTTGACATTCTCAGTGAGAGATAACTGAAATATAATAGAAAAAGGGAATTAAATCTGACGTGCACTTCTCCTGTTCCTTGCTGTTAGTTCTGCTTCCCTAAATCTCATTGCTACGCTGCCTTTTCGAGTTTGATTACTCCAGGTTGCTTTTTTTGTGGCCTTTTCAAAGAGCAGTGAACGTTCCCATGTTGCTAGCGAGGCACGTATATTCATTTGTAGACAAATCCCTAGATATGCCTGCAGAATGCCTGCTGTACAGGAAGCTAACATTTTGTGGAATGTCTTGCTCCATTCTCAGGTGTGCAATCCACTTGAAAACATTTTGATTCCACCATCTTTCAAAGGTTCAGTAGCAATGAACATAAATTCGCTAGAGATATGCACACAGCTGGAGTTTATTTACTTCTAAAAAGAGTAAGAATGGGAATCAGGACTGTATTTTATATGGGTGAGGGGTATAATCTAAAGATCACTTCCTCATTGCCCATACAGAACAGGCTCACAGCCTTTAACAGAAAATAACACCCTTCTACAAAGACTTTAAAAATATTTCCTGTACTTTCTTATACTTAACATCTGTCCTAAGTATCAACAGTGGATTTCTTATGGCACCTTTGTAAAGCTCTTCTGAGGTCTCCAGTGGCTTTCTACTAGAATTCTACTAGGTACCTAGGAAAAACCGAACCTTTCAAAAGCACAGACAAATGCAAGGTGGAAAGTTGAACAATATAAGACTCTGGTGACAACATCCTGTAACTTTCACTTCCAGGTTACAGGCTCCAAATCAGTTTGGAAGAGTGTGCTGGAAACTGCTCTTAGCAGGTGGTATCAGTCTAATCGGAGTGAGAAGATTCACACTTCGTGAAAATCAGGCAAACAAGAAGCCCTGCAGAATGAGCCAGTTCTCACACCTAGAGCATACCTGCCTGGACAGGGCATGGAATTGCTCTTCCAGTTGCCCAGGATGTAGCAAAGTGACACCTTTTGGTAGATATAATAATAATAGAAACAAAAAACAACATAACATAGACATAAACCAAAGTAGACACAGACAAAAGTGCTGACTTTCACCTCTTAACACAGTATAGAGCTCCTCAAATGCATCATCAAAGGCTGAGATTTTCACAGAAGCTTGAGGATCTCACACAGCCATTTTTCATGTTGTGTAACTACTGAAAATTCCCACTGATCATGTTTCCAAGATGTCTAAAAAATGCAGACATTCCACCTCCTGACTTTTTAAAAGCAGGTGGATCTCCCTTCATCGGTCCCCAGGAGAAGTCCTAGCCCCGTGACACCCATTTCCAGTAACAAACTTAAGACTCACGTCTGAATCAAATCTGCATCTTGGGCTACCAGATCTTGCCTTGGACAGGAATGTAGGTTTGACAGACAATTGTTCTGGTTTGTCTCCAGATATCTGCAGGGGCCGTATAAACTCTGAAATCACACAACGACTTCCAGAAGGACTTTCATGACCTGGCAGTGAACAAAACACACAGGAGAACAAATAATTGCTATCAATTAGAAACTCTGCCATCTAATACCAAGAAATGAGTTATTTTCTCCTCCTGTTAGAAATCTTCTAGGAAAAAAACAAGGTAGATGGACTGGAGAGCATGAAAGTAGCTAACCCTACTATTTCAAAGCCTGTCCGTAGATTACATAGGTCAACAATAGGTAATGGAGTATCAGGTAGAAAGTGAAGGCGTTTCAATGCAAAACAAACAAACAAACAAACAAGCAAATTAAAGTTAGAGCTTCCTTTAATGAAAAAGGCCACCGGTGTTCTGAGCACCCTAACATCTTTGGAAAAGTTATTTCATGTGTTGTTTAACACGCCCGCTTATTTGAAGAGCACTGAAAAGGTGCTGTTGGAGCCCTTCTATTTCTTGCTTTCTGGAAATCTGGCATCTACCGGAAAGTAGAATCAACTTGTGCGTTTATCTTCTGAGAAAGCGACTGAAATGCCGGTAATTTTGTTGGCAGGATGTTCATTTTGAAATGAAGGGAGGTGGTTCGGTTTGTTGCAGGGTAGTAAGTTCCCAGGCCACCACCTTCATGAGTTTCTCATTAACACCAGTAATAAAATACATTATCTGATCACAGTGCCATCTCTCAGGCTTCTAAAAAAACAGGAGACAGACAGACAATGAAAAATAAAAAAAATCTCCAGAAATACGTTTGAATATTTTTATTGATTTTTTTTTAAAGCACTAAAAACAGAAAGGAAAAGATAGTACATGTGACACATTTAAAGGATCTAAGGAGGCAATCTTGCAAGAGGCTACACACGCCAATCTCCTATCAACTCAAGCAAAAACCAGGCCTAATGGTGAGGGGAAGCAAGTAAAAAGAACTTCGTTAAGGTTACAGGAGAGACGAATAAAAATGGTATGTAAAATACCTTACATTTTTTTCCCTTTCACTGTTAGGTTAGTCCTCAAACCACATAGAAACAAGCAGGAAATTGTAAACTGAGCCTAATTATATCTGCAGTAGCAACAGAAGTTATAGCAGAGCATGCAGTACGGGCATTGCTGACGCAATCACATATCCAGGGCAACTTTTCCTCTCTTTCTCTCTCTCTCTCTTTAATATGAGTCCATGCTCTAATTTTTCAGGCCCTGGATATGCGTAGGTTCAGCATTCCCTCTCCAGTTCTGCCAGGAATCTGGAAGTACAAGCTTCCCAGATACATGTCACCAGGAATCATCACTGGAATCTACTCCAACTGCAGGGGAGAATGAGTTCCAAAACACATCACCAGAGGGTTTTCTGGTGTGCTCCTTGGTCCAATATGATTAATTTTCTCTGCATCACTGTGATTTACAGCAAGACGGCTTAAGTACATTGACAGCAGGGAAACATACAAGTCATCATACAAAAGATTAATTACGACCAGTCTTGCTTGCAGCAATTGCTGGACTGGAAAAGGGCACATTTCTTATACTTGGAATCTTTCTCACACATGTAACAGAAAAGCCATCCCCATTCAGAAACCTTTAGCCAATTTAGCTCCTTCTCTTTGCTGCTAATGTGCTTACCATACCAGCCTGTCAGCGCTGAGCCTATAAATAATTGGTCCAACTGTGATTATTCATTCAAAGGAAACTGCTGTTGGGTCTTACGCCTCCTGGACTTTTCAGGCTTTGTTATTATATTAGTTATACCAGACACAAAAAGCAGAGAAAGATTCTTGGACTATCTACCCCTTGTTTTGCATAGTATACAGGACGATGACCAGGCCAGGAACACACAGCTATTAAGAACGAACTCCAGGAAGAGCAAGACACGGGAAAATATTCAGCTGTCTTATTTCTTCCAGCTGTAAAACAGGGAGCAGAATATTTACTTTGGGTCCTTCATAGACACTATCCAGGGAACAGACTGTGCAGTAGTTGTACTTGCATTATGTGCTTGTACAGCTCCAGACGATTCTAATAAGGAGATACAGCCCACTTAGATGCCTCACTTCCTATCTGAGTAAGTCCATACCCTCTATCTAGCTCGTATGTGAAAAATGTAGCTTATGCCCCAAATCCAGCTACGCAAAATGGATCTGACTACCTAACTGGATTTACTGCCTCCTTCAGTGTCCTCCATTTCTCTATTTATTTAGCTACTTGTGCAACACAGTATCTCCTTCTTGCTCTGATAAATGCTGCACTGGGTGCCGTCAACTCCTATCTCTTTATGAAAAAGTTTGTGACATAACAGAAGCTGATCCTCTGCACCTCTTGCAGGACTGCCTTTATCTGGGACCGCACCTATTTCTTAAGCAGCTTAAAAATTACTGTATTTCCGAGGTATTCTTATATCTGCAATAAATTGGAAAGAACAGACCTTGGACAAGCCGTATCATAGAGTGTCAGCAGTTAATTCCCATGGACTCTGCATAGCAGACTATTTTAAAAGGTCAAAGGATGCTTAAATAACGTTGTGTAAATTCATGCTGACTCTACATACGTAGAGTCACGGTTGGATTAAAAATATATAAACACACAATTATCAAGCAATGCCTTAGCAAAAAGCTAAACTGAGATTCACTATGCATGCAGCACATTCCTTCTGATATCTCCTGAATCTCTGAAATCTTTTGATCGTTTCTCTAAAGGATGCCTACTTTTGTGGATTACGAATCGATGAGTACAGCCACACATGGCTGCATTTGAAAACTAGCCTACTTTTACCACCAAAGAAAGAAACAATTTCAAACTAAGTTCTCTTCTTCATCCAATGTAATTTCACTAATTTCCCTGAACTTGAACAACATGTGAACATGGAGAATATGAAGAATGTGGTGGAATCTGTCCTATTAAGAATGTTCTAAAATTTGTGAACCTGCTGGAAACTAAGAAAAACAGATAGCTTTCTGTTAGCAGCACTCTGGAAAACACTACAAATTAAAAATAAAAAAAATTGCCTTTATTTTGCCATGACTGGCAGCTAGTCTGTTAATGAAGTCTGAAGAACACCCTCTTAAGGAAAGAGGCAAGGAAGAGTTCCAGACTATTTAATTTAGATGTCTGAGGCAGAATTAAAGCTGACCATACGTTAAGTTCAATTAGACCCTCCATTTTATTTATGGGATTATTGATTCATTACAGACTACCTACATTATCTAGAAAGACCATTTAAATGCTCCCTTTATCTGATATATAATAAATCTCGAAGGTTTCTGTATCTGGTTGTGACATTATTATATATTAAGAGTGAACTTCTTACACACTAATCTATTCTGCCAAGGTTTATTTCATTTCCTGATACATTCAAACATCACAAATTAAGGCAAAGCAGCTGGCCATAAACCGATCTCATTTCCGTCATTTGCTTTGCTTTGAAAGCTGTCCTTGTGTTCTTTCTTTCTCACACATAATAAAAATAATTACACCTCTGGGTTGAAGAACTTGCTGTAGCATTACCATCATTATTGTGAAACGGTTGATTTCAATAATTTAAAATCCTGCCCACTTGCTTAAACATTACTTTATTGTTATCAGTGCATTCGTACTGAGTACTGTTCAAGCATTTCTGATGTTTATATACCAGTGCTGCCGGCCCTGAATTCTAAGTAGCATAAGTATCAATAGGTTATGAGAACAGGTTTACAGAGCGAGGCCTTTAAATGACTTCAGTACAGACCTTGCTGTGTTTTAAGTGTTTTTAGTCAAAGGCTTCTTGGAGGCTTTTGTTGCATTTTGGAGGCTTTATTAAAAGCTATTTTCATTAACATTTAAAGAATAAATATTAAGCAGCTTGGAGAGCTTGACTCAGGACCTCAGAAAGCTTAGTTAGTCTTTATTTAAAGATTGGGACCTACTGAGATCAATTCTGGGGATGGAGACTGTACCTTCACAAGCTGCCTAAAGGACATTTCAGTTCCTAATTATCTTTTCCTTAAAATTAGTTGTTGTTTGGAAAATCCTGCCCTTAGAATAATGAGGAGCTAATCCTGTCGTTATTAAGCAAATTTCTACTGACTTCTTACATCTACCATGTAATGTCTTCTGAATTCTCCATTTAATGCACTTTGATAAGACAGCTGCAGCTTCAGAAAAGCCTACAAACTATTATACACCACAACGGGTGAGAATGCAAGCACCCTGAATTTTGTGCTTAAAAACCAAGTACAAAGTCACTGAAGTGAAATGAAAGAAGAATGTCATCTTGGTTCCTTTCGACTTGCTTTCACTTCGAGTTTAACATCCTTCATTGAAAATAACTGCTCATCTGCAATAATAAGGAAATGATTTGTGATTTCTAGGCCCTACACCTCAGAATTTTTCTAGAAGCTTAGTAAGATGAAATTTAAAAAAATTCAGGACTTTAATTAAAAGTCAGGAAGTTTAATTTTTCTGGTTCCTCTTCATATTTATTCTAAAACAATTTGGGTTGAATCGCTCAGCAATAGAAATTACCTAATAGGCAACTATGAATGTTCCTTTGCAGATCAGGTAGTTCATTCTGTCCAGTTCTATCATTGTAGCATAGATGATACTGAGTTAAGTATCACCTGCTTATAAGCACACTCCTCAGTGTTGATAATAATATAGTTATACACAATCTAACATGGGATTTACATGTGAGTTCCTTTTGAGCGTCCTGAGGTAACCACTGTATTGCCTTGATCTTTGAAAATTTCTTATGCATAATGAACCATTAACAAACTTGTATACTTCGCAGGAGCAGTTGCCTTTGGCAACAGGAGATGACCTGGCAAAAGCTCAACACAGATCTTGGAAAAACACACACTGAGATGAACATATTAAGCACTATAAGCACAGGAAAACCAATGTAGATGTAAACAGATTTTATTTTTCTGACTTTACAGTGTTCATTTCTTTTAAAACTCAAATCAATCATACTTTCAGTGTAGTCTCCGTTTTCAAAATACCTAGTAATTAAAATGTTCAAAAACTAATTTAAACACAGTTAAAAATTTAAAAACATCTTTTTATATTTTATTAAATGCCAATAGATGCTATCCATAAGTTAGTCTGTTAAAATACATCCCATGAACCTCCTTTTCGACCTAAATCTGTCTGTGATAGAATTAGTGTCTTCACGGACAGCGTCTGCTACAAATTTCACTGATAAGATGGCTAACGCAGCCTGGGTGTCTCTGTTCTTTCTTTCCCCATAAACTTACTTCAACAAGTTAGCAGACCAACTGCTGCAGCTGAAACGATAAAGGTTTTCCAACAAAGCCTGTATACGTAGAGCCTCGTTACACTTCCAGCAGATAAGGATATTTACGCAATGAATACTTTATTTTAACACTGAGCAGGCTTATCATCGCCACACCCAATAACCATTGGAGAGAATTTTGCTCCCAGCCCTATCTGAATAAAACTGAAATAACTTCAATGAAGTCATAAGAAATACTGTGAAATCTGCAATAAGTCACAAAACAGGATCAAATTCTATCCTCACATTTGCGCAGTCAAACTCTGTTTGCATCACTGCATCACATCTCAAAACCTGAAAAGCAGAACAGACTCCTACAAATAAAATGTTATTCCTTACCTTTGCCTATAGAAGTGGCTATTCCATTCATTAACTGGGACAGAGATTTACTAGGAGAACCAGGGATATCTGCGGATGCCACCGAGTTACTGCTCAAGAGGTCAATCTTCCCAGCTTGCTGCCGAAACTTCTCCAGTTCTTTGGACAAGAGGTTAAATTGTTCGCTCTGTGTCCGGCATTTCTCCTCTAGCTCTCGGACCTTGGCCTGCACAAGCGAGACAAAAGACAGATATTTTGACTGAGATCAGAGGGATCTATGATTGGGTCAGATTTTCTTGAAGTACCAGAAAGCAGGGACAGACAAACTAGTTGGGATAAACAGGCCCACAACCACATATTTCTCCCCCTAACCTCTAAGTTGTATTCAGAACAAAATCTTTTTAGGAGCTCAGCAATATTGAGGTAAACTTTCCCCAATTTTCAAAGGGAAATTCCTCATCACGCTTCCTGGCAGTGCTAAGAACCTCACTGCCAACGAAACCTGCACACAGAACCTACAGTTTTGTGAGCTCTACACACATCTGAACGCCACTTTTGCGTGCTTTTCCAGCTTTCTCTAAATTCCAGATGTTTCTGAGGTTTGCCCATCCTCAGCTATTAGGCTGCAGTCTCCTGAACTGCTAGATTAACATTTAAATATTAAAAAGTAACAAAATGCAGTGGTTCATGCAGGGGGTCTAGCTACTGGTTGAAGTCTCTTTCAAAAATAATGTTCCTTACTATAGATGCCAAACTACATAGAAGTAATCTAGACACCAGCAAGGAGGAAATTGTTTGTAAGCTTGTGAGAAGTACAAAAATACCACAGCTGGCAAGCATTTCTCTTTTAATTTTGAGGCATCAGGTTTTAACAAAACAGAAGTTACAAGACAAACTTCTGTTCTGACTTGGGAAATTTGCCTATGTACAATTTATGAATTCTTGAAGTGAAAAATCTGGATGAGGTGATGGAAAGGAAAGATCCCTGGACGAGACGAATGACAAAGAACATGGGAATTTAGGACTTCTTGTATGACCTTCACTCAAAACAATGTGTAGCAGTAGCAAAGACACTAAGGCAGAAAAATGTACATAGTATCTTCTATTTTATATTTATTGTGCCAGCTATATTAAGGATAAACCACTGTTTTCAATGCAATGTATTTACACCTCAATCTGCATTTACAAACAGCTTGCACATCTGTTTGCGTTCACTATCAAATGCTGCTGAAGACAAAAAAACCAGAAATTCAGAGTGCCTAGAAGGTTGGGAAAGCGCATATTAACACCTGTTGCAAAGACCTGAAGGATCGGCAGAGCTCCCGAGAATTTTATTTGTGAGATCTGATCTTCATGTAAGGGGAAATAGTTGGTCTGTGTCCTGGAAACGTGCCAGAGATGGGTCCTGCCATTCCAAGCCCTGCCATTTCACGTCTCCTGTGATCTGCCCCAAACGTTGCTAGCAGAAGTAGCTCAATAGAGGCAGTAATAGGCTCCTTATGTGAAAAGCTGATGCATTATTTCCTAATCTGATGTTTTATCACGAGCAAACATCCCTTTCCCTCATTAAAACTCCCTTTATAGCATATGCCTGGGTTAAACAGCTGTGTTAACAAAGGAAGGCTGGATACCAATTAGATTCATTCAGCTGTACTAAACATTTTTTTTTTTCTTGAAAGAGCAACATTTTCTCAGTTCATAAGAGGAAAACTGCTGAAGACCAATACACGGATCTTAACACAACTAAAGATAAATGAACGCTCTGTACAGCCCTCAGAAGAACACAAAAATCCAAATTTTCTGCTACAGAAGCTGGTATTGTTTATTCCTTTTTTGTAAAAAATATATTTTTTAAGCTACAGTGAATTTTGAGGATGTAATTTCTTCGTATTCATCCAACAAATTAATTTAGTTCTAGTTAAGAAGTCTCACTGTATCTATCTGGCTGATTATGAAACCAAATATAACAAGCTGGAGAGACACCGTGGGAGCTTTACACAAAGATTAAATCCTTTGGTTTTTGTTTTCTTTTATCCTCTCACTGTGACTTTAAGCAAGCAGAATGACCGGAAAGTGAGCCTTTGCTACTTGTCACTTTGCTCATGAATAAGGCACCTATGTACAATTTTAAAAGAACATTAAACAGACAAAGCAGTTAAAAGTGGTTTGGGTTTCTAGATCCTGCCTTTCCAATTCAAAGTTTTAGGATGATGCTATTCAGCTCTGTGAGAATATAAACTGACCTTTCCGTATGCAGTTACGGAAACTCTAGCATAAAATCAAAAATAAAAACACCATGATCCAGACTGCAACAAAATGCTAAGGCTAGCTTAAAAAAACTATTGCAAGACTATTTATTTATTATTTAAAATGTATTTGCATTTCAGTATTTGCCTTATTTGACTTTTCCTTTGAGTATCTAGAATCTTCATTTTCAAATTGTTCTCTGACAGTATGAAGCCTGGGGAAAAAAAAAAATGCTTTACTGCTTTTTTAATGAAGGTTGTGACCTGGAAGTGAGTACAAGGCTGATACTGTATGAAGGAAAAATTGCCATGAGCTTCACAATAGTACTGACAGGGCAGTACAAAGCAGTACTATATGGGCATCCCCATGCCCATCTTTTTTCCTGACTTCAGATAACTGTTTGCTTCACTGTTAGTATCTAACAGCCAGAATCACCTCATTACAGAAAACCAAGAGAATATCCATGTACTACCAAAATCCCATCTAAAACTTCTTATTAGGACTTCAGAGAGGCTATAGACTTTCTGAACAGGAAGAATTTTGCATTATAAAATAAGATCTAAAAAATCAAAGCAGACTTGTAGAAAATTATTTGAGTAGACATGATTGAACACTGGTGATCTGTGAGTCAGAACTTAAATACAGCTAAGTAGCTGATGCACTCTTTTCATGTCATGTCTTTAATGTTAATATTTTAAATGTGCCTTAAAAAAAAGATTTATGCAAAAATGACTGCTCATGAGAGATACTAAGTGGGCTTTAAACAGAGTAGTATTTATATGTTAATCAAACAAACAAACATAGATTGCAGTAGCGTTCTAATAGAAGATAGCTGCTTTCTGCTGGATGGTATTTACTAGTTTTTGATGTATAACAAAAAACAACGTGGATTTAATTTACAATCACCTGATTTCAATGCAAGTCTCTTGCCCTTTCAAAACTAAATAATGTGTCTTGGTAGAAGCTGCTAAATGTCAAATTTTACTGAAACTTTAATGAAAATAGAGGATTTCTTATTGCTGTTTGAAAAAGAACTGGGAATTTAAGGCAGGAATATTTCTTCTGATACTGATCAAATACTGTAATATTCAAACAGTACTTCAGCAACACACAAAAATATATAGATGATTAAAAATGTACCACTGCTAACAAGAAACATCAGCCTTTCCTGAAAAATGCTACAGATTATTCCCCAGAAATACAATTAACGTCTTCACCTTTTCCTTAAAGAATCTTGTCACTTCCCACTTTCTATGTTAGAAAGACTAACTGGTGTTGGTTGAAGGGGTCCAGCTGTCTATTCCTTGCTGTAAGACGTTGCCACTAATGTCACAGTGAACTACTAGACTCCGAGCAAAACAAAAATAACAGGTGAAGGGATGAAGGTAGAACCATGAGACAGAATTTTCTTCTAATCAGGGAGAAAAAGTTCCTCTGGAATTCACTTCCTAAACATGACAATCTAATTTATTTGGGAAATAAGGACTACAGAAAATCCTTACAATTTAAATTTGTTGATTGTTTTTCCTACTGATAAATAGCTTGTTGCACCTACAGTTTTCTTAGGTACTGAATTACTGGTACTTGAAGTATCATCAGTCTCAATCTCTGATTTCAGTTCTGCTGAAATCCTGAAGTAAGCAGCAGTAGTAGAGCAAGCTACAATAAAAAGGCAATTAGGTCTTCATAGAATACTTTTCATCTTCAAAGAGCTTTGTATTTACAATTTTACTTTTTCTATGCTTTAATACAAGGCACTACGTATCTGACAATGCTGGTACCAAAAACTGACAGCTAACTTTTATTTGAGATCTAGAAATATTCTTCCCCTGTTACAGACCTGGCAAGTGGCTGTACGGGTTATCTCACTTTCCAGCTAGCACTGGAAGAGTCTATTTTGGGCAGTTTAGGAGTTTAATTACATGTGCCGCAGATTGACGGTGTCCGTTCCCAGCGGTGGATTACAACATGATCCTCTGTGAGGGCCCTGCAAACTAGCAGGCTATTTGAGCATGTGTGCATGCACGTCCCTGAGGAGGGAGGCGTGTGCTTATGCTCTCGGAAGGACTAAATTTTTATTCCATACCATGGCTCTGCCCGTACAGACTATTCTAATAATGATGTGCCACAAAAGTGCCAAGTCTTCCCAATTCCTCTAAAACTGGATCTACTGATAGCAGTACTTTCACGAAAAGACATTCTCTACTGCAGACCACAGTGACAGTATTTCACTCAGGGCTTGCCAAGTTTCTCATACAACATACAGTGCTGTTTCTAAAACCTGAACAGCTTCTTAAATCGAAAATGAAGCAGACTTGATCTGTTACAAGACAGGTACTGTTCACACAGGACAGATAAGATGATGAGCAGCTTTCCGGGTGGGCAGCCTGAATTCAGACTAATGATTAACTCACATATTTGGCTCCCGGGTTATCATTTTACAGTTTAACTGTGTATGCAGCAGCAATGGCTTTCAGTAGGCTGCTCAATATACCAACCTCGGGTGAATACATCATGTAAAATTATCTTTGTATTAGCAAAGAAACAATCTGAATTCAGACAAAATCCACACGGTTTGACAGCTACAATCTTGAGTAAACTACTGAACCATTCTCACTGGGCATGCTTATAAGAACGTCACTTTCAAGAATGGTGTCGGAGTTGTCATCAAACCATGCCGTATTCAAAGACTAATCCCCTGTAGAAAAAGTTTCTGATTTTGGTGGTTTGGTATTAGGCTAGTCAATGCCCCAAGCATGCTTGCATAACAATGGTTCTTGCACGCATTCCATGCGAGGTAAGGCAGGGCTATCGTACACATTTTAAAGTGCAAGGAGCAGGATTCAGGAGAGGGAAAGGAGAATTTATGCCCTAAAATACCTGCATGCTGTCCAAGGTGTTCTGGATGAAGTGCAAAGCAATAAATTCCAAACAAGACACAGTAAACAAAGAGATGTGAAATAAACAAGGAAATAAAAACAGTTTTGAACACTTTTTTAACATTTCAAGGCAAAAAACACTGAAACAGTTAATAAGTGTAGAAACATGCATTAACGCAAACCCACTATAGAATGTTTCAGAAATCAGTACTGCTGCTGATCTCGAATCACAACAGGCAGATTAAATAAACAAAATGCTAAAAATTAATAGGCTCATGGCAATAAAAGGCAAAAGCTTAAGAAACTTTGATGGGGTTATGCAAAACAAAAGAAGCAGACGAATCAGCTAATAAGGAATTTAGATTAGCTTGAGAGGGGTAAATAATCACCGCTTTGTTTCTACTTATATCTTCTTGCATCATATACTTTGCATCAGGTATTCAATAATTATCTTACATTCTTAAAGGCAAAACAAACAATATATATAATAATAGTGAAAGTATACGAGTAAAAAAAACTTTCCGTGGGAATATTAACTTTTACAGATGCAAATAATCAAACAAACATTTATTTTTTTTTTAGCAGGTGATCAATGCACCAGGAAGATCATCTTCCATCAATGCATGAGCAGATAAGTGTACAGACAAAACTACTGCAAAAAAGGAAAAAGACTAGAAATTATCTTTGCTAAAAATAGATTTATAAGAGAAATATCGAGAAAGTCCTTACTATAGCCAATCCATGGTCCTGCATGTTCTTTATGTTCTTTTGTTATGTTATGAATTAGTAATTATTTAATGTGATTTTTTTCCTCAGGCAGAAAAAATAGTTTGGTATTTATCACTGAAAATTTACTATGCATGAAATAAAAGTGGAAACAAAAAGAGCAAAAGGAAATCTGGATGCAATTAGCATGCAATTTTCTGGTGCGGCTATATTTTCTGACACTTTATCTTATCCAAGTGCATCAAATGATATGATTAGAACTTAAAACAAAATCTGTAGAGCCTCTTTTTGAAATAATGGAGCAGAATTGCTTGCTCTAGGAACCTCCTTACAGGACTTCTAATTTCCTCTACCTGTGGCTGTCATTTGTCCTATCCTGCACAGCACTGTGGCTCAGTCTGCATTTCTAAATAGCAGACTGGGAATGGAATAAAAGGTTTTGTCAGCACCAGGCAGATATTCAAGTATATTAATTTACTGTAATTTTCTGTTGACTTTTTCATGTGGTTGCATACTTTATTTAACCTTAACTGTATGTACCCATTATAATGGTTCCACTATTATAAAGGCCCTAGTTTTAAAATTGTAAAACTTCAGTCTTAAGAAAAAGAGGTTTTGCCAACCTTACCCTACTCCAACTAAAACTGACAGCAAAGCTTGTGGCTTTGGAATGGGAGTAAGAACTTGCTTCTATTCTTCATGCCATTTGCATACAAGAAACAAGGCATTGTGTATCCTTAGGCACAAAAGACTAGATTACTAGATTTTCCCTCAGGATTAATGACAATTTTGAAGGAAGGCTGGAAATGTGATGTAAGGTCAATAAACACAACCACTAATTAATCACCAGGAAATGCCCTGTGCCAAGGTCGTAATTGCTATGAGCAATTGCCAATGAAACTATTATTATTTTTCCTCTATTTTTATGGATGATGTTGCCTTAGTCAGCACGGGCAGATAATCAGTGCTTTTAAAAATTAGTAAATCAGATTATCTGAATCATCTCTCAAAATTTAAATTTAACAGTGTTTACTTATTGAATGCAACACAATCACTGGAAAATTCTAAAAACGCATTGCAGCACAGCTGGAAGACATTAAAAAAAGCCTATTTCTGGTAGTATACAGCAAAAGGCACGTGTTGCTTCAGGAAAAATTCTAACAGGATGCAAAGAATAATATTCTTCACAAGGAGGACGTTCAGAGACTGAAAGAGGTTGCCCACGGAGGCTGTCTCATCTCCTTTCCTGGAGATATTTAAAAACGGACCGGACAAAGCCTTGAGCAGCCTATGGTACCTTCGAAGTGGACCTTGCTTTGAGTTGGGAGTTGGACCAGATGGCCAGACGTCCCTTCCAACCATGATTATTCTATGATTCTCATTAAAAATTAGAATATATTTCTCGTGCCCTTTTATTTTGAGTGAACGTTCAGGATTCCTTGAAAAGATCTAGCTTTCCAATGACAAATGTTCCAGTGTTTCCTTTAGACTAGGACCTTTTTAAGGTATCTCAAAGTTGCCAATTTAATTCTCCCTTCAGGATGAAAAATCTTAGCTCTTTATTTCACATGTTGCTTTATGTTTACTAGACAATACTTGAGAAGGAACCTTCGGTAACTGATTAGTAATTGCAGCTAGCTAGCCTTAATACTTGCAGCCTAAACTATAATAATTCTTACGAGAAAAATCACTTCCTTTTTTACACATCTGATAGCAGCGTACAACAAATGGTACCAACATTTCCATCTTATACAAATAGAAACTGAGGTATGCAAATGTTGCTTCCAACAGCCCAGTTCAATGCAGTCATAACTGGATTATATTCTTTAAAAGATGTAGTTAACTTCAGAAGTGGAAAAAACTATTTGCTTACATATTACTTGACTCTATCAAAAGTGATTGATACTATCATGATATCACATTCAGAATGGAACCCCCATGACCACAGGTAGCACAAAGGATATCTTCTTACCTCTAGCAACTGAACTGCTCCTTCATGTTCCTTCTTAGCTTCAACCTGAGCCTTGTTTTTACGATTTAAAAAGAAAAGAAAAAATCAATTAGTCATGTCATATATAGTGTGTTCATATCACGTAAAGCAGCACACTGTATACTCAAATCCAAAGCCAATTACAGTCTTCAAGGGCTGGATCCATCAATAGAGTAGAATGCTTTGGTTTCAAGCTTTCAAAATAAGATAGTGAGATAGACAGACAGACTCTCACTGAAGTTTAATAGCTTCAGTATTTTGTTGGACAAAGACAAACATGTTCCACACACTGCAAGAAAACACATCGTAAGTAACTCTGAAACCCTCTGAATCAAAAGTGAAAAATAAGCTCTTTATTTTTGTTAATTTGCAAGATTACTGCAGAAGATTCACAGAGTAGAAGCCCACCATACCTGTTAGGAGAACGTGACACAAAAGTTAGGCTCAGTCCTTAGACTCAGCAACAGTATCTATTATCTAAGTGAACAGCTTGCAAACTATTTGCCTGGAAGGCAATCACAAGGTTGCGTAACGTAAGCAGGAGTATAACATTTAGGGTTCAATTCAACTGAGCCAAAGAGGAAAAGAGCGGATCAATCAGAGCAGGAAAGAGTATTTTATGCATCTAAGAAATTCAGTTATCAGAGTTTGGTCAGGAAAAGTCTAAGCCTTAAAAACACAAAAAATTAGCACACCGTAACTTTTTGTTACTTCATTTCCTCTTACGTTTTCACTGTCTCCTTTACTGCAGCTTGCTCAAGAAGATCAAAACTTTGCGTTAACCAAACAACTGTCAAGCTGATAGCAGTGTGATGCATCAACTATCCCTCTTAGCTCCCTACTGCTGTACCTCAAGAGCCACATTCTGCACATTTCTCATCAAAGAAACCTTCCAAAACCTTCCAGTTTAACAGAGGGCAACATGCTGCAAACTTTCCAGTTTAAGGGGCCAGAGACTCCCATGACACCACTAACAGAGCTATATAAACTATACTTTTCTCATCTATAATGGCTAACCTACTCAGTTATTGGCTTGAATGGGAGCTGGGACAGAACACAGTCACAACTGAAAGCATACACTCAAACTGTATGTTATCGTTCTGTATGATAATAAACTCTCCTTTGGCCCTGCACACACAGCCATATTTCTTCCTGTACTACAGCAATAAGTCTTTTTGCTAGCACCTGATAAAATATCGGCTCCAGAAGTATTGGCAAACATATGACGACAGGTAACAGAAACCCTTGTGCTATCCATCATTACAAGTTTAATAAAACCTACCCAGAATATGAGCTCTTGATAAACGATTAGGGAAGCTACATCAATAGCTATCTCTCTTTTTCATCGAACTGTCTTGTATTAAAGCTTTCTTGGAGGAAAAGAAAAATCACCTTTATCTGACTCCCTATCAACACAAACACCGAAGGAACAATATTATGTTCTTATTTTTAGGGTGAAAATCTGAACAATCTGATGGGGAGACATGCATGCGCAGAATGATTTTTATTTACTATATCAAAACGGGACAGCAAATGCATCAGACTGGAGCAGTTACTGGCCTTGTTTCAAAGTGCACATTACTGTGGTTCATCAGCAACTCTGTGATGGCAACAAGACATACTGCAGAATGCCATCCTGTTATTGCCTAGAGAGACCAGTTTCATTTCACAGCACCTTTTCAAGTAATTAGACAAATCTAATAAAAAAGGAAAAAAGAATTTAGCACACGTTTATTAGGCACACTGGGTGGTCAGCTCAGGATGAAACATGAGCCAGTAATGCCTGTTTAATGACAGAAGCAGAGTATTACAGTTACCGAGGTAACTGATTCATTTAAATGACTTCTGACAATATACTCTGCGTTATAATGTTGAAAGGTGAAGTTCTGGATACCATCAACCTAGAGGCTAGAAGCAGGATAAATCAGTCTCAGTGCACATCTCCACTACCATGCCTAGACTAGTGCAGGTATATGAACTAGCTTGGTATCTCTACAAGACAGAACAGCACACAAGGTAGACATCTCCTGAAATCTTTTAATATATTGAATGCTTTCCCTCTTCTACCCACACGAGGTACCAATCTGGTCTTTATTCTAAGGTTACTATTACAGTAACAGTATTACAGAAGAAACTAGGCATCTCAACCAAGCTGGGATCCCGCTGTGCCTTGACAGAATGGAAAAGAATCTGAGCTTGAAAGGGCTGAAAATCAAAATTAGAAAAGAGCCCTTTCTTCTTTTTGAAAGGTATCTAGAATGTATAAAACATGCAGATTTTCTCAAGAGATGTGATGGGTAGCACGATCATTTAAGTTATCGCAGATCCTTATCATGAAAGGCAATAATAATTAAAAAGATACAATAGCAACTTAATCACATAATGCATTAGGTGTTTCAGGGCAAAAACGAACGCCTGTGCAAAGACATTTCTAGCAGAAATGTTTCAGGCTAATGACGGAAATAAGAAAGAAGGAGGAATCATTTCTTAAATGCTTCTTATTAAGCATTTTATATTTATTATTTAATTTTATATCAAGCATAACTGAATTGCTATGATGCACTTTAGTACAGGAATTTTAAGCTAAAAGTGGTAAACTCAGTGGTAAATGATTATTAGATAATTTTTAACATATATAATCTTGTACTCCATACTATTTGGATCCACCGAACAAGAATCTAATCACCGGCTTCAGAGGCTGAGTCAATTACATTCAGTAAAATACCAAACATAAAACCTTGCTGGTGCTCTAAAAAGTCTATCTTGCTAAAGCTTAGCAAAAATGACCGGAGAAAACAGTATTAGAGAGATCGGCTCCCAATTGCCAATCTGTAACAGAGAGACCCACATAACTTGGATTTAGAAGGATGTAATAAAAATCAACAGGAAGAAAAGTTGCACGTTTCTTTGATGAACACTGCTGCTTTGCCAATAAATTAAAGCCCAACATTTACACAGAAGCTCAAGTAATGGCAGCTGAATATAACAAGAAATGGCATTTTGAAATATGCCTAGATAGGTTAATTTTAAAAGGCTTACAGAAAATAAACTGGAAGATTTCATTTGGTCAAATGAAACTTTATGGCTGAGGCAAAACTATACCTATACACACTTCTAGACAGAATGGGATTTTTGTTTTGGAAAGTAGGAACTGGTTTAGTAGCTTTAAACTAACTTCCTTTAAACTAAGAGATCTGTTTCATTACCCATTCCATCACTGGAATTTGCCATTTCACCTGATTTTCCCTTGCCCCACTTACCTTCTGCAGGAGCTCAATTTCCTGCTGTTTTGCGTTAAGAACAGCCAAGGCTTGCTCATGCTCCAACTCCAGCTGTTGCCGCCGTTCAGCAGCCTCTCGCATATGCTGTTTCAAAGGAAAGAAGACCAAACTATCAGGAGACTTCAATATACTCTACCCGCAACGAAGCATGCTGACATTCTGGGGCAGGCACATGTTCATCTCAACACAAAAGCTCTCTGGTTTCACTGACAGGCCAAAGGCTAACTGGATAGGATTTCAATCAGTCCTTAGAGGCATATTGGCACTGTGAAACTCAGGCATTTTGGTAATAATCTCTGTTAGGAGATATGATTGTTTATCATTGCTAGCAACATGGCCTCCGTGATGTACAAGTGAGCAGTTCCTGTTGTATTTAGTAGAAGGCAGAGCCGATACCCACTTACATATGGTGCTGTGCTGAAAAATTAAATCTCAGAAGACAATTAGCTTGACAGTTCCCCCATTGACTCTTCATTTAGGATTTGATTTTGAGATTTGTGTTGCAAATTATGACCCCAAAGAAATAGCTTACTATTCCTAATTACACAGAGAAAAACTAAAACAGGTGGATTCGGATAGAAGTAACTACATAGTACTGAAAACTTCTAAAGAACACTTACTACTAATGATTCAAAGCAACATGAGGCAAGGTTCTTAGGAAGAGCGCAGGCTGAACAATGTCAAGATACCCTTTGCCGAAAGAAGTCTTTTCCGTTACTGGTTAATATTGTTCTGCCCAATATTATTATCCTTTCAAACACCCTGTTTAATAAATGGGAGTTAAGAAAGAATTCTTCATAGATTTTGATCTCTTCCCTGGTGAAGTCAGTATTAAAGATTCTTATTTTCCAAATTATATATTCTTCCCATAATACTCTCAGAGCAGAAGCACAATTCCTTATCTACAGCACCAGCGTTATTACGTAGAAACCTATTAGCAATCAGCACCTGGAAACACAAATACACGGCTGCAATTGACTAGAATAAGACAAAATACCCTGTGTATTGTGTAAAAGAGAAATTTTTATCCAAGTATATTGCTGACCTTTAATGAGCTATTATGCTGTGCTACATATTACTAATAACAAAGAGGGGCAGTAAAATGAGGCTTGCTTCTCTCAATCTCAGTGTGCTTCCAAAGCAAACAGAAATGTTCGCAATATTCCATTTGACCTCTGCTTGGAGTATATTTTCATTTGATATGTTGGTTAAAAACCAAATATTTTATCAAAGATGTTTCCAACTCAGTAGGTTTTGACTCTCAATTATAGCTCCTCTGAGGAGTTTTTTGAGGAATTAATATTTTGGCTGTAGACATTTCTGAACTGCGCATATTGTACAAAAGTTACCTGGATCTGTTCATGGTTAATATCTGTTCTCAGTATTTAACCAAAAACTGAGGTCCCAGTTCTCATCTGAATGAACACAGCCTATTTTACTCACTAGAATTACTCATGGTTTAAATTACTGAGCTCAGCAGCTTCCATCAAGTCTCACGTAAAATGTGGCACTGACAGTCTCATCGTATTTCTTATATTCAAGAAGTGATGAGGCAATCAAGCAATTCTCACACTGCAGATCTGTAAAACCATTAATTATCACACATGGAAAAAAAAGGTCTCCGCTCTCTGAAGATTTAGTACCAGATTTGGCATAGCATATTTTGATACTCTTAAATGCTTACTACTTTTACAAAAGCTTCTACAGCACATTCAGAGTCCTCTGCAAAAAATCAATAAATAATTACTACAGTGCTCATACAATGAATCTGTAAAATGAAATGAACAGAAACATTGCAATGCATGAACTGTGATTCTCCCCAGCATTTAATTTCTCTCATTTTCCTAAAATATGTATTTGATAATCTTCAATTCATGTATTTTAAGGCCAGAAAGGACCATTTGGTCATCTATGCTAACCTGAAAGTATTTTACAGTCATTTTGGTACGGTCATACTCTACTTTGTATTTAAAGCAGCAAGGATCTCTTCACCCCAACATCTGTCCATCCCCTGGCACAGCAATTAAACCTCCCCCAAACCACTCCCCCCACCCCAACTCTGCTCACAGATCGGTTCTATCTGCAGTTCTGTTTTGCACTTCCTATTCTCGTATCAGCTGCTGTCTTTGCTTCTTCCAAGCCTGAGGGGAATAGATTAGGGGAGTGAAGGAGGACTGCAGATATCATTAGAAGAGCAGCAGGAGGGAAGCGCTGAGCTGCTGAATTCTTTCTGCTTCTTCCTCCCTCCTCAAACAAATAGGCTTGTGAAGAGAAGATGAAAACTATCCTGCATGGAGTAATTCTGATCCAGTGCTCTTCCTGCATAGGTGGGCCAGTAGGGAAA